AGGAGAAGGAGGAGGAAAAGGAGGAGAAGGAGGAGGAAAAGGAGGAGGAGGAGGAGGAAAAGGAGAAGGAAGAGGAAAAGGAGGAGAAGGAGGAGGAAAAGGAGGAGAAGGAGGAAGAAAAGGAGGAGAAGGAGGAGGAAACGGAGGAGAAGAAGGAGGAAAAAGATGAGAGTTCATGGGGCGAATCTCTGTCTGATACAGAGGATGGGTTTTTCGACCTAGAGGATACAGAGTCTATGGAGGATGATGACAGTTTTTGGGATGAGTACCTGGATGAGGATGAGGATGAGAAAACACTTTTGCCAATGTATCCATTTAAAGATTCATTTGTGGAAGAGGAAGTGTATCTAAAAGAAAAGGAGTTTCAGAAGCATCTGCAAAAGGGTGAGTATCAGCAGGAAAAGGCTGTCTAGAGGACTGTCTGGAAGTGGGTGAGTGTCTGTAGAGAGAGGGTGCCTAGAGAAGCATCTGGAAGGGAGAGAGGGGTTTTGTGACACAGCATCTGCCAGTGTGTGAGGTGGAAGGAGCTCTGCCTCCCTAAGTACTCAAGCCTAAAGGGCAAGGGTGAGAGGAAGCAACTCCCAGCGGTCACTGCCCTGTCCATGGTGCTGACAGACAGGCTACCCTTAAGCTCAAACTGTGCTCAGAATGTCTACAGCGGGGCACCCTGCAGAGAGAGCAGCCAGGGAGACTTCCAGAGCGTGAAGCGCCTGCTTGGTTTGTTTTTCCATCCATTCTTTTGCTCGTTTGTTTATTGAGACAAGGTTTCATTTATTCCCCAAGTGGCCTCATATTCCCTCTGCAGGCGAGGATGACCTTGAACATCTGATGCTCCTGCCTCTACCTCTCAAGTGCTGGGGTTACCTGCACTACCATGTTCTAAAAGCCACCCTGCCAGCTGAGCGACATTCCATCCTGATCTATTTTCTGTAACAACAACATTTTCTTTTTTGGGCCAGGAATGAAGTTTTATTATGGCTGTTTTAGAAACTACATACAGGATAGGAAAAAAAAAAAAAAAAAAAAAAAAAAAAAAAAAAAGGACGTTCATAGGATGATACTCAAGACTGTCCTTCAGGATTCATCCATGCGTGTACGCAGGCACGCACATGTGTATAGTAAAAAAAAAAAAAAGAAGAAGAAGAAGAAGAAAGCAGAAAATTACCACCAAAGATGATGACCATTTTCATACATCAGTTTTATCCTCCTCAGACTTGTACACACACATATATGTGCATGTACAATATACAGACTAATTGTACACACACAATTTACTAGTAGGATTTTGGTCCTGTGTTGGTTACCAGATCATGCTTTCTCTAGTGCTTGCACCTTGCTTTTGAGGCATACTTACTTTGAGGTATATATTCGCACTTTGCGATTGCATACAAACATTGTTTCCTGGAGGTAATTTTATATTTTATAAATAGAATGTACTAATTTTCCTTTTAAATACGGTTGCTCTGGACTGACATACCAGGGGTACACATTAGTGACTGTGGCGTTACAGTGCTGAGTCAGCATGTAGTGATCACAGGAGGAAGCTGAGAAATCTGCCCTTCATACATGTGTCTCTTCCTGACAGTGGGAACACACCAAATTCTCTGTTAGCTATCTTGAGATGCTCAGCTAATTGCTATCCACTATAGTTATCCTACTTCCCTATAGAACATTCAAAGTCTTTGCTCTCATCCGCTTGTGTCCGTTAACCATCCTCTCATGATAGCCCCCATCACCTATGCACTTATCCCAGGCTAAACCTCAATACTGCTCTTCAGTCCCCATTATTGATCGATCATTGTTTCCAATTTTAGCGCTACCTTTTTGTCTCATTTTTTGCTTTGTTGTGTTTTGTTGACAGGGTCTGCCTATGTAGCCTTGGTGAGTTGTGATATTCTCATGAAACCCAGGCTGGCCTCAACTTGGTGGCATCCCGCTGCTTAGGCCTTCGGAGTGCTGGGGTTACGGTATGCCCGCCATCCCTTGTTTATCGCTATTCTTACAAGTAGTCCTTTGAGACTGCGAAGTAGCTCATTTGTCAGAGTGCTTTTTGAGTACCCATGAGGCCCTAGGGTTGATCCCATACATAAACTGGACATGGTGGCACATGCCTGTAATCACAGCATTCGGGAAGTAGGGCAGGACAAGCAGAAATTCAAGGTCATCCCAAAGTACATAACAAGTGTTTCCTATGATGCAAGACCTACAGCCTGACCCTAGGCCACCAGGCTCTGCTTCCCAGGGCCCCTACTCACCCCCTAGAAGGAATATTATTCCTATGCTTCCACTGCGTGGTGGCTCCCAGCCAACGGCTGACAATTTTCTACAGCACTGTTCCTGAGATGGGCAGGAGCATCTTCAGTTGTGTTCTCTTCTGGCAGCAGCAGCCACTGTGCTATTTTCTAGCTCTAGCTAATGTGTCCTACTGTACACAGAGATCCATGTGGCACCGTCCCATGATACCCTGACTGCATGAGCATACCCAATCAGATACAGAAATTTAAAACCTCAAGTAGTCTGCATCATCTTAGCTGAACCGTTTTTCCAGGTCCAGTTTTGTTACTCTCAGTGTTTATCTTTACGTGCTTCTACATCTCTTCAGATATAACATCATCGATTCCTACTGCCCTTGTGGAAGTTGAGCTTTTTGCAGAAACACCGCTCTGTGGCCAGGAAATTCTTTTCTGTGTGCCTCTACCATCAGACTCCCTCTTGGGATTCAAATGTCCCTGCTGTCCAAATACCCAGTGTAATGGTAATACTGAAAAATAGCAACTCGTGCTTTTCTTCTGCACAGTATGGATCAAGCATTCTTAACATGTCCCCTCTGTGCGCTGGATCTTTGTAAATATATTACCCACTAGAGAAGGACAAATACAATGCTGCCAAGCGAATGGAACTGTGTATAAAGCACAGGCTTTGAAAATAAACGACCTGCTAGCAAAAAATTGAAAAAGCACTGAAAAGCCCTGCAGCGGAATGTTAAAACAATCTTAAAGGCACAGGGAAGAGCTCCTTGGGCTATGCAAACCCCAACACCACGCTAAAGTATGCAAAACAGGTTATGGGGGTTGACAAGAGAATTCTTAGTTTCTTGTTTTAAAGAATTTACATCAAGGTTTTTAATGTAGAATATTCTCCAAATATCTTTAAGACATAACAAGTGTGAGATGTGGTATTGAACAAGAAAGCCTTCCTGTCCCATAGCAGATATGAGGTAAATTGAATCAACTGATCAGATTTATTTTATAAAGGCATATGCATACAAGCACACACACTTATCTTTAATGAATTAATTGGCATTTATGAAAAGAACCTTAGGAAGGCTCTATGAGCTACCATCTCTCATTCTAATAGGTTAATTTCCAGGAGTTAAAGGCAGGTCACTATCTTGAGGAGGATTGGGGGCCCTATCTAGGTCCAGCAGGAAAGAGTGCTGTTATCGGCTAGTGCTGTCTGCCACAAAATCAAGTGATGAAGATGAAGCATGATGGCCCCTTGTTTATCAGTAGCAGACAGGAGTCTGCCAGAAAGAAGGTCTTTCTTAGTGGCTTGACTTCTTAGGTCTGAATGCCATCTCTCTCCCACTTATGAGTTACATGAACTTGTTTGTTTGAGACAGGATTTCTCTGTGTAGAGCCCTGTCTTGGAACTCACTTTGTAGACCAGGCTGGCCTCAAACTCATAGAGCTCCACCTGCCTCTGCCTCCTGGGATTAGAGGCGTACGCCACCAATGCCGAAATTACATAAACTTGGACATGCCCCTTAATCTCCTGTCTTTGAATCATCTCTTAATCTCCATTACCAGATATAGTAGACACACAGTATTTTGAGCCAATGAGAAGGTTAGCTCTAGTCATATTATATATTATTCTCCTACCGCTGAGTGACCAGTCTTCCCTGGCCACATTTTCCTGCTCCATGAAATGGACATGACCCAAAGATAAGAGATTATGAAGCAGTGAAGAAGGGAAACATCTACTCAAGGGCAAGCCAACCTCAGAGGTGCCTCTGGATGTCATGCCAGGGTCCAGTAATTCTTTATCACCTGAGTTGATGACAACTGTTCTTGAAGCTCTTGACATCATATCATTAAAGACAATCAAATGGATAAATGACCCAAATGATTAAAAGTCTAGTGAATGCCTTGAAACCCAGCACTCCAGAGGCAAGAGTCAGGCAGATCTCTGTGAGGCCAGCCTGAACTACATAGTGAGTTCCAGGACAGCCAGGGTTGTATAGAGAAACCCTGAATCAAACGAAACAAAACAAAAAAGGAAAAAAAAATCCTCTTAATCGTAAACATTCATACCCCCTGCTCTGTCTGGCACCTTTGGTGAGCACCTAAGACTAACAGGGCAAACCTAGATACTTATTTGCCTCAGTTCTCTCCAGTTTAAACTCCTGATGGTTTAAAGAAAACCATTAAGGGAGAAGAACACTGCGGTAAGGCAGAAGTAGAAATTTTCTGTAACCCAGGCCCTCTCATTCTCGCCATCAGGGACTTAACGAGATATTTTTAATGCAAAGAAAAATGCTCTGCGAGGATCAATAATGCCTTTCTTTTCTCTTCCCCCAATAGAACTCAAGGCAGTTGCCACATCAACAGGCCAGCTCAGCATTAGCTCAAGGTAAGACTCGTCGGAGAAAAGCCGGGTAGAAACTCACATTTTCAGAGGGGTGGAGGGGTGGAGGGGGTCTTAGCGAGCAAGTCCCTGAGGAAGGGAATTGAATAAGGAGCTCCTGAAAGTCACCGGAGGGCCCTCTTGTGTCATTCTCTCACTTACAGGGGAGGATTCAAAAGTCAGGTGTCTGGGTATGCAGGACGTCCAGCTGTGAAAGAGCAAGGCCTTCTGAGTTTGAGTCAAGGTCTAGGTCAGGGGCAGGTGGTAACAAAAAGGGGCAGACAGCCAGCAAAGGGCTAATAGGCAGGAAAGCTGCGAGCTACACAGCTTGAGCATATTCCCAAGGCTTACAGTGTATAATGACTTAAATACTGCAACAGGGATTGAAACGCCCTAGATGATGGAAATAAAGGTATCTACGCAATAAGTACATCCTTCTATGTACCCAGCTCTAAAGAAACCAGTGGAGAGGCACCCACGTTTCCTGGAGTGCTGTTCTTGTCTTGTGTCATGTAAGCTATAATCCCCCCCACAAGTAAGGGTCCAGACGATGGTCACCCAAAGCTCCATTCTACTGATGATGTCAATGGACATGCGATCTAGAAAACTCACAAGACAAGTTTGGTGGTGGTGAGAAATAGGGTGAGAAGCAGGTGAGAAGCCCCCGCTTTACCGAAGTTATACAACAGAGCAGTGGGCTGCTCCTGGCAAGGCAGTCTCCAGGTTCTGCTCTGCCCTGGCTCTTTGCTCTATATTCC